GCATTCCTGAACCTGACCCGAGGAAGGGTTCTCCCCCTTTGGGTCATATTTCCTGCACAAGGGAGGAGGGTGACTTCTGGCACTGATCTTTGAAAGGATGGGGGGAAGATACAGAAAAGAATGAGGAATGAGTGTTCCAGGAGAAGAGGGAAAAGCAAAAGAGAAAGCGTCTGAGGGGCAGCTGAGATAGATATGTGAAGATGGTCATAGTAGTCATGCAATGGTTACCCCCTTGGAATAAGACAACAGAGCGAGCTACTGCGGAGAGAGCAGACCGATACCCTGAGATTGCTTTCTCAACCTGAATTCTAGTCAACTCTCTGCTGTAGCATTTTTGCATCTAGTTTTCTTCTTCTCTTTTTTTTTTTTTTTTTTTTTAATTTTATTTCTGTGGTATTTTATGACAGGCATCAGGCAAAGTCACAGCCTCCTCTTCACCTCATCTGACCAAGTTTTCTTTGAGCAAATTGCTCCCTTGCCAAGGACAAGGCTTGGAAGTGGTGAAAGGATGCGGTGATTCCCTGCTGTGGCTGGTGGCCGCATGCCCTTGCTGGGTCACACTGCTCCCTGGCCGCGCTGCTCGGTGGCTGCCTTGCTCACGCTGCTCAACTGTGAATCCTCTCGGTGGGGATCCTCGGTAGTTACTGACACTGGACACGACCTCTCAGAGGACTTGGGGGATCTCATAGCCAAGTGGAAGCCTGACTTAAGCAATTAAGAATGAGCTTCATGGAGTGACATTGCTAACTGCAGCAATGGGCTGTTTACTGAAGGTGAAAAATAAATGTAATGCATTAAAGAGACAGGGGGGCATGTAAGAGGAGTAACGCTGAAAGACAGGAAAATATCCCAGGACAGCACTGGCACTGCTCACAGTCCTGAATGAGGAAAGGATGAAGATGAGCTCCTGGAAAAACAGACATACACAGTAGAACAAAATAGATACCACCCTTCACACTTGGTATCCCAACATGTTCAGCCTCTAATATGTTGCTTTATGAAAAATCAAGACAAACACTTTTTTTTTTTTTTAATTTAAACAAAACAAAACAAAACAACCAATCCAGAAGTCGCTTTTTAAATTCAGCTGTAAAAAGAAGTCTGAGAGGGAGCTCCCAGCTTTACTCAAACAGGACTAAAACCAGACCGCTCACTATCCCAGCCACAGAAAGACAAACGGTTCACAGTAACTCATGAATGAGATAAACATGCCAGTAAACCAAGGATAGAAAGCAAGTTTAGTCACAGTGATTCCTTGTACTTTTGTGTGTCTTTTTCTCTAAGACCCCTGCATGCTTTGTAGTCATTGTGCCTCGGGGTAAGCATCATCTTATTTTCACCTTTGCCTGCACTGTCAAGCTCTGTATAAGAAGTGGTTGCCCTCAGCCTACATTACAGCCAGTGGAAAGGCAGTAGGCTCTTGTTGCTGTGATTCAACAGTTTGATGTTTTAGTGTCTACTTTAAGATGAAGCCATTCACTCTCATTCGTTATTTCCCTCCAGTAACTATAAAGGATGCCTAGAGTATTTGAGGTAAGAAATTCGGATCTATAGTGTCGATACCTCAACTGAAGGTAACATCTGCTTTGCTACTTCATAGATGTCTGTATCACATAGGGTGGGTATTACCTCAGTAGTGCTTTTGTTTGGTTGTCCTTTGCTGCAGTTGGTGAGGGTTGGTCATCGTTTGACAGCTTTAGGCTCCTACCCTGTGCCCACACTCCTCTTCGTGAGGGCCTGGAGCCCTGAGGGCTGAGAGAAGCACCAGCCAGGGAGGCTTTGGCGAAATGCTAGCCATCTGAACATGGCTCCTCATGGGTCTGTAAATATCACAAGGGCATTAGAAGCTGTAGTTAATCCAAGTTTGATCTATTTTGCAGTCTGGTCTCTGGCACCAGTTGTGCTGGTGGTAATACTCCAGATTTGGAGACCACTGCAGTGTCCAGTGTGGCCAAGGAGAATGACCATCGCAGGAGACTTGCTACAACTTTGCACCTACAGACATGCCTGCCTCTGTTGACATTTGGCTTTTATTCACATGGTGCCTGCTAGCCTTTCCCTGGTGTGCCACTGAAAGGCTGGCTGATGAAAACGGGGGTTGCTGGGCACCAAGCATGCTGTATTTATCACATCACTCTGAAAGACTCATTTGTACTATCCTGCTCCCTGGCATCTCATCCCCTGACCTACCCAGAGAACAAACCCTATCACTAAATGGTTCCCTAACCTCACAGAAAGGGTTTTAGTGACTAGTACTAAAATACCTAGTGAACAATCACGACAGTACTTTGACAGCTTCAAGTGCCTCCTCTCTAAGGACTTAAAAGCACTTCACAAATGTGCAGGGCCTGTCTCCGATAAGGTCCTGCATCCTGCGGTAAGAAACAAACCACCTTATTCTATTTTCCAGGTGACATTCCTAATGATCAGAAAACAACTCAAGCTCTGTCGATATTATAAGAACGTTTGTTGTTTTATTCTTTTTGGTGGGTACAAAAACCACAGTTTCTTACACAGAACAAGATTATAAATAATATCTGTAACATGAGTGACCCGTAGTCTCTTTTGATTCTACACTGCAGACTGATGACGTACTCTAAACATTTTATCATTTTGTTTCTTGTATTAGACAGATGCAAATCTGTGGAACACGGAATGATGGAACAGAATGAAGGTAACAGCAAACAAGAGGATGACCAACAACTTTTATAAAAAAAAAAAAAAGTCTCTGAATTTTATTACAGTGATGGCATTTTATATCAATTATTGCAATGAATTGTTCCCTAAGATGGTTAGAAAAAAGAATTGTGTTGTCCTCTACCGAATTTACATCAGTTAAAAAGCAAGCATGTTTCAATATTCCTCTTTTTTCAAAGAAAATGTAAATAATTTCTTCATTTTTTTCACAGGATTTACATATTTATTATTTTCTTATCACAGTTTAGTGATTAATTCCTACAGCTGAACAGCTGAGTATTCTTCCATTGTATATATTGATGTTCTGGAGACACAGGTTAGCATGTTCATTGACTTCTATAGCTATTTTTCTCTCTTTGTCAAGACAAAGACCAAAATGTTGTCCTTTCTGAGCATGTTCTTCACAGTTTAATGCGCTAAATTGGCAAGTCTTATTAGTTTTAAGTCCACTCAAGTGAAATTTGTTGCTGTTAATACACCCTTCCCAGCCCCCTCCCCCCAACAAAACTAAATTATGAATTTTCCTGATATAAAATCTGAGTTTGGGTTTCCGAGCTGAGCTCATGCACACATTGCTGCTGATGATGTCTGGCGCATTTGGACGTACTTCCCTTTCTCAGCCAAATTATTAGTTCATCAATGACACTCCCATGTCGTTACAGTCTGTGCTGTGTTCCCATCAGTCACCAACACAGTTTGATTAAGGCACTCAATTATTTTTTTGGTTTTTATGGTAGGTCCGATGCAATTACAGCCAATCCTGAACTTTGTCTAATTGCAGTTCCAGTATGCATGGCCTTCGGGCAGTCGGGAGTCAATACGCGTCCGTTTTCTCCCACACTCCCTGTGATGGATAATCTGGCTTTGTTTCTTATGGCTTCAGAAAAGGTAAGCTAGGTTTGAAAAAAAAGGAGAAAAGAGGAAAGTGTTACAATGTTTCTGTCCTTCAACAAACCAGGACACAGCAAACACCAAAATATTAAATTTTAGACATCTGCATTTTTTCATATTAACATTAAATATAATAATAGTAATCATTATAAATATAATACATAGCATTTAAGTCTACTAGGGGGAAAAAGACTAGCAATTCTGAGGGTAAATTTCATTACAATAAATCATTATTGATTAAAATATAAAATCCAAATTTGATCAAGAAATTAACAGAAGAGGCAATACCTTCATCTAAACTGCTTCAAACTACATTTATATATAGTGATACGAGAATCAAGACCTTTTATGAACCTGAAAGCATTAGAATCTGTGAATAAAGTCATGCACACGTGTTTATAGGCTTAGACCTTCAACTAGGAATGCCAAGATGTAATATAACAACTGAAAATGGTTTATGAATTGCAATATCTATATCAGCTGTCTTTGTGATAATGGATCAAATCCAAAGAAATTATTACTTCTTTTCACAGTGCACATATTTAGTATCAGTAAATCAGAGAACTGTCCTCAAATCCCTTTTCATATATTTATTTTCCTACAATTAGAGAAGGTGGGAACTTTCAAAGGAGATGTAGTTTATTGAGAGAAAATACAAGTTTCTATAGTTTTTACATTAGGTCTAAATTTTCCAAAAGATGGTTTAAATTTTTGTCACCTCAAAATCTTTTCTTTCAGGTAAATCAGAACAAAATATTTTGTTTAGGGACTAACTGTCTGAAGCAAAAAATGTGGATTTGTTAAAGAAAAAAAATTGTAGTTATGCCATCTAACTTTAGTCATCCAAAACCCAGTAAACTTATATAAAAGAGCGCTCTCATGTGATGATAGAAAATGCCAGGACGACTACTTTAGAGTAAATGATTTCCAGATGACTAAAATTAGGGGAGGTGTCTAAGGTCAACCAATGCAGCAAGGACACCTGGAACAACAGGCATCCAATCTATGCTATGTTGAAACAAATTTCAAAGACACCATGTTAAGACATTAATTAGTGGGGAAATCTGATGTCTAATCAGCAGAAGATATAGTCTATGCAACTAACTCATGTAATTGGTGTGCAGGGATGCAATCTGAAATACCAATTGGAAATAGAGAGACAGGAGGGTGCATTCACATAGGAGCAAAGGGATGACATAAAAATCATAAAATAATTTTATTTGCTTTATTACTGATCTCTGCATTTAGAACTTTGTCCCTCTGAGCCCGGTTTCTCCTTCTGAGGTAGCAGTGCAATCCTGAGCTAGTGTTCGATATGCTTAATTCCATTTTATATAGGACTGTGTGTGTAGGGATGAGGGAGATTCCTCAGTTCCACTGCTTCTGGGTGCACTTCTATGAAAATGCACCGGTCTAATATCGCATTGCTATCAGTAGCTCCTTCAAAAAAGAATCCGCAAAAATACAGCCACTGTTGTGGCACAGAGGTTGGATGTAAAAGCAACTTTCCAAACCAATTACCCTAAAACCCTCAGCCCTCACAAGCAGCTGAGCTTGGGAAAAGGCCCCAGCTTACAGAGGGTGTTAGGGCATTCCCCTTATGCTGAAAAACCTTGGCTTTGATAATCATCAGTTGCAGGGTCCAAAGTCACCCTTTGAAAAGTTTCCCTGCTGCCATAGTAGTCTGTAAGAGGGACTGTTAGCAAACATATCTCAATCTAATTCAACAGCTGGGTATAAAAAGAGAGAGAGAGGTAATGAGGGAGTGGGGACCTGGGCCCATACAGTACCAAGCACCTCAACTTCTCCCCAGCAGCAAATAAAAATCTATGCATTTGCAAAGCACAGACACAATGCAATGTGGTGTTGCTCCAGACAGCGCATGTCCAGAGTCCCATTGCAAATGGATGCCAAGGACTGGTAACTGCCTGCAGCGATACACAGAACATGGTTTGGTCAATGGCAAGAAAAAACAAAAGTGCTTTAGTTTTGGGGGGGATGAGAGTCCAAACCAGATTAGAATGCAAACTTGGATGGAAAAGGGACAGCTTACTCCAGATGTGCTAAACTTCCCAGAAGGTCATCATTATATACCAGCACCTCTCCATCACTTTGATCAGCTATCTGTTCGTGGCCATTCAGGGTTTGCCACTGGGAAATCTGAGGGAGAACTCAGATTTATATGGGATATACAAGTTATGCATAACTGTGGTTTTGTAGCTCAGTCTAGAAAGCTTTCTGGCCATTGACAACACACTCAGGACAGAAAGACAGTAAAAAGGGATCCACCAAAGAAAAAAATCACATGAGAATAACACACAGTTTCTCAGCAGCCTTCCACAGAATAACAGAAAAAGCTGCAATAAAGCAACTCCTCTCTCACGGCGGAGACTAACAACAACTCAGCAACGCACCACGGAACAACCCAGACAGGTAACACAGCCAGGGGGAGCAGGTCAAACCTGTACTCGGGAAGGTGCCGTAAAGCTAAGTAACCAGGTAAGCTTCTGTGTTACATTTTGAACTACGCTATAGGTATTAAGCCAGGCTAATACTCTGCTTTACTGTGCTGCTACAATTTCAGATTTATGGCCTGGCTGCAGAAACAGTTTCAGGAGAGGCTGGGATGAGAGGGAAAAGTCTTGGTATTTACCGTGAATATTACCCAAATTGTGAAAGTCTCTGTGCAGTAAGTGTATGTAGTTAATAGTGATAATATATTTTCAAATTTGTCATTAGTTTTGATTAAATTAGTTGTGGAATTAGTCACATAAAAACACTGACTGCCCTGTTCCTATTGGGAAATGGGAATTTAGGAAACTGATATCCTCAGTCTATATAATACAAATATCCTAGCCTGTGTGGGTTCTTTTGCTGTTTGGTCTCCTCTAGCACCTGGGTCACATGGAGGTGTCTTTGGCACAAATATTTAAGATGAACTTTTAATGATTTTTTCTACCTTGAATATGAAATTGGAAGTATAAAAGTCAAAATAACTGCCTTACACATTTAGTGAGCCATCCTGTAGCACTTAATCTTTTTTGTAATTAATTCCTCATTTTTTCATTGCTTTTTGTAATGAATTTCATTAATTATAAGCAACAGCATGGGATGGGAGAGCAAGAGAAGACAGCTGAAGTGGAAGCTGGTTCATGAGCTTCATGGCCCACTGAGAAGGCCATGGAGGAGGCGGTGGTGGTGGCTGGCTGGATACTGGGACAACCCCTTCGAAAGCCTGTGGGTTTGGGGTGAGGAACTCAGTAGGGCTTTCCCCTACAGCAGCTGGAGAGAAGGCTGTCAGGCTCCGCTCTGTTCTCACGGCATCGGCTCAACTACTGTTCTAAGGCTCTACTACTGACTGATAGACAAAAATGGAAAACCGCTGCCCAGGGGGAGAGGAGGGGATTGTTCCCTCCTTAAAGCAAACTTCCTTCCCTGTCCTAGGCAGACGCAATAGCCTGTTATCCCTTCTGAATGTCTTTGTCCCACACATACAGACTAGTCCTTCATCATACAGACTAGCCTTTATCATCTAGACTAGCCCACACATACGGACTAGTCCTACATTTTTGTTTTCTTCTGCCTCACAGGCAGGTGAATTTCCCTGAGGAAACTCACTTTTGACTGGATTAAACTAAACGAAAAAACATGGTAATGAATATTAACTGTCAAGCGGGTTATTGAAGTTATTCTACATTAGTTTAATACATATACTATTAAAACTATTTGATGTTAGCTTAAAAAGTGAGCACGTTGGTTATTCATGCAGGTTAGAACCACCAAGCATCTTTCCGTATTAGCAAGTTTTAGTTGCAATATGATCCCTTTACTCCTTGGATAAATAAATGTATCAAAGGTTTTGAAATGCCTCAGCCAGACTGATGTCTGCAGACGTATGTGTAACCAGTGCTGTGGGCTCTGTACTGCTGCCCGCTAGCAGGGCTCTATGGGTCCAGCACAGGTACGAGCAGACAGCAGAGCCACCTGGTCCAGAGCACGGCACACAGGCGACCCCTCGCTGCCTGCGTGACTAGGGGGGGCCAAGTACTGCCAGGAGAGGATGACTCGACCTTGGCAGTCTTCCACATATAAGCATAAGCTTTTTAATAAGAAGTTCACTGCTGCAATTTCTCATGCAAATATTACTGCAAATAAGTAGAATGAAGAAATTAAGAAGTTTATAAATATTTGCTCAAGATCCTAGTTATTTCTATTTTTTAATGAATTTTTAAATGTCTGCACCCTAAAACATTTTTAAGAATTTATAAGAAGTTTTGACTGACCCAAACATGAATTTTCAATATAATAAAATGCAACATGGGCATTTTTAATATATTTTTTCCTATAAGAATTAATCTCTGTGTTGCAACAAATCCCACAAAAATCCAAACTTTAAAGAAAGGTACTTATGATTTTCCCTTAAAAAATAAATCTGCTAGCTCTATTTTTTATTTCAAGAAAATACTAAGACTAAAATAAATTTTACAAGTATAATCGCAGTGTTTGTTGCACTGGAATCACAGAGCTGGGTGGAACTTGGGGGATTGTCCCATCACGCTGTGTTTAGCATGCTAAGCCAGTTTGGGTCAGGTCAGTATTTGAATGAAAGCTTTGGGGTTTTTGTTTGCTTTCTTTAAGACTATATTTTGGATGGACTGCATCCTGTAAATCTAATAAGGAATATGTTTTCTGGGACTCTCATTTTTATACCAGCCTGGGGACACTCTCAGTTGTGGGCACATCACTAAGGAATTTAAAGGAAAAAGATCTCTTCATTTGCATTTTGCACAATTACTTGCACAGGGTTATTTCTTTTTAAGACCCTTCTTACTGACAGTAGGCAGTGAACTTGGGAGATAAATATTAGCATCTGGAAGCCCTGATTCCCAGTTCACAGTAATGAACACGGGCCTACACTCCTGGCATCCCCCTGACACCTGCTATGCCTCACATTTTCACCAGTGAATGAAGTGCAGAGCTAAGACTGGTGGGGTTTTTTTTGGATTTTTTTTTTTTTTTTTTACATGGGGAAATGAGGCAGCTCTGTTGCAATTAAAATATACCCGGGGTCACGACTTCTTGTACAACAGGGAACAAAAGAAAACTACACAGCGACAGTATCTTTGGGACAATTTCCCAGCCAGCGTACGCCAAGCCCCCTCCCTCGCCCCCCGAGAACCCACCTATTCCTTGCAGCGCTCCAGCTATCATGCTCAAACACCATTCTCTGCTCACTCTGTGTTTGCTCTGTACTGTATGGTTCGGTATTGTACCGGCTGTGCCTTTAGACTGTAAGCTCCTCGGGACAGGGACCTGTTATGTGTTTGGCACACTTCACCTATTGTACAGCGCCGTGTAGTCCAGCGCTATATAAATAATAAATAAAAAATAATAATTGTATCTCCAGTTGTTTCCTCCAAAAAGTTTTCTAGGTGGCAACATAAAAATTATATTCTTCATCTCCTTGCCCTAAATTTTTGTTTCTTACTTGCACTATAGGGATGGCTCAGTGATTTCAGGAAAATGTAGCTCAAGCTTTTCGTTAACAGAGGTGACATGTGGCTTGCTATTTGCAAGGGCACGGGAGCTCTAGGTAGCACGATGGGTCAGGGTGCTAGCTGCACCTTCACTTATAAAGCAGCCAGTATAACTTGGGAGCTATGTAAAAAGTTATATTTAGAAGCTCAATTTGCAGTTACGTGCCATTTCCAAAGGTCAGAGAGTTGATTTGACTAATGATTAGTTGGCGAGATACTCACTGCACGAGTGAGAACAAGTACATTAGTAAACCATCCCTGCACGCCTGCTCAGGGGAACTATGCAGGATGCAGCCTGGCAACATCAGCCCTTCGGTCTCCAAAATCACTGTGTGAACATCTAAAATACACTAGTCCTGAGCTAGGTAAGGGGGTACATTACTGAAAGCTGAGGGTGATAATCAGCTCACTGGTTAGTGACTTTTTGTGGTTACTATAGTGGGCAAAGGTTGACCTGAAGCAGGATATTGTGAAAAAAAATGCCACACAATTACCATAAAACATGTATCAAAGGGAGGGTGAAGGAATAGGGTGGGGAGGAGGGAGAGAAGGTAAAACAACACTTAGACTTCTTGTAACAGTGCCTTGTCTTCTGTTAGGTTAACTATGGTTCAGTGACATTGCCTACCCTAAATCTTGATTATAACGAAGTCCCAGTTAGGGTCAACATCGAATAATAAAGGCTTACAGCAATTTATCACTACTAGAGTGCAAACTTTTAGGAAAATAGACCGGCCAATCAAGTAATTAAACACTGGCCCTCTGAATATATATTTTGTGATTTCAAATAGTTGTCCATCTCCCAACTGATTTGACAACATTGAGTTGTTAAAAATGTATTTTTTAACGTTAAAAATTCCTTGCAATGCAGATGTCTATTAGCAACATAGAATAGTATACTGTACATCTGCAGCCAAAAAAACTGAACCACTTTGCACTGAAGTTTTCCAAAATATAAAGCTCTGTTCAGAAGCAAGCACCACTAGACAGACATGTCACAACACTGCGTTACGAGATGCATCACCCACTCACTGTAGTAGGCCCTAAGTCCTACCCCTAAATTTTAATACTTTCGGTTCCATATACGTTGTAACCTTCTCTATAAGTTGCTAAATTCTGGGTATTCTGCGAGGAAGTTGGGTTAAAAGTCTGTGCACTCTTTGCCACCTTCATTCGTTTCGCCTCTGCCCTGGACTTGTAACAGAACTCTATCAAAGCCACCAGCATTGCCAAGCCCAAGCCTCCAACCAGAATGTAGAAGACTCCAGCAACGTTGCTGAGACTCAAGGCACTCGTCTTGTCCTGGGGAAACAGAAGTGACACAGTTAACCCTGGAAACCAGACCCCCGGGAGCACAAGCTACACATTAAAACATTGGAAATAGAAACAAATAACAATGTTTAGCTGAAATTGAATTACAGTTGTTTACATACTTCTCACAAAATTTGACCTATCTGGATCTATAAAATATATTTTAAGTGCCTAGTTTTCCTGGTCGGCATAAAAATATTATAAGTATATAGCCAACATATCAGGATGTCATTGTGTGCTTACCTCCACTAAGTGGAGAATTAAACAGTGAAATGTCTAGCTCTCTTCAGGGGACATTTTACCACGGATACAAAACTGTATTTACATAAAGCTCTTTAACAGCTTTGAAATCCAGAAATCCATTTACATCAGACAAGACTCTGCTTGATCTTTATGAAAACAGTAATTGCACTTGTGGTAGGCATTGCTGTTAATTTAAAAGATCCAGACTGAGTTTCTGATACTTAAATAACAGACAAAAATAACATGTGAGGCTTACGTTATTTCTCTGAACAAACACTTCCTTTGAAAGTGCACACTGTACCATACACATCGTGATATATTTGCCTCTTACCGATTACTGTATCTTTTTTCTTATTTTATTACAGATATAGTTCTGGAACATGCCCACGGACTACTAAGGCTCAGTAACAGTACAATTTTAAATAGCAGTTTCTGAAATCTTACATTTTATTCATAATTTAGACAACAAGAACTTTCTTTAGCAAATGATTAAATCTGCATCATTTTATAAATGAGCACCTTCTTGGACGTACTGTAGTAAATAACTATTCTACATTTCTCTATACTTCACTGCTTAGTATTTTTTTATTTGAAATCCATGTGCATTTTTAGCACAGTTCTCAAGGAAGTCTTAGGATTGACTTCCATATACTACATCGTGCGCCTTAAGATACTTATAAAGCTTTATTCTTACGCAGACTATATAATCTTTACCTAAAGTAAGGATAGTACTTAACTTCCGATTGTAATCTCTATGAAATTTTAACTTATGAAGAATGCAAAACATTTGGATGTTTAATTTAAAGAGGCACTATTTATTGTACAACCAGTAGATTAGCACAGTAACGATTCCCATGGATGTACAGGGGTATTTAGGGCTTATGGCTGGCTTCCATTTTGTCTGTCTCCTTTGTCTCCTTTTAGTTGGCTAGGAGGACTCTGACTATCTTGGAGCTGGCTGTGTTCCTCTGGTGGCAATTGCCAACATGGTGCTTGCAAGCAAAGAGGAGGCAGGACTGAGAAAGACCTGACCCAATGTACGTGGTGGGTTGATGCTTTCTCAGCTGTCATTTACAGGTACTCTGCCATCCTCTGCACCGCTTTTCACTCCTTTCTCCAAAGCAATTGCCAGAAATAGCAGTATGTGTTGGAAGTTTGCTTTCCAGGTTAATTTTACCTGCTACCCAGCCGGGTAACTCTCAGGGCATGCAGGCAGCAAGCAGTCACTGCCCGCCATGCTTCCTTTTTAGCTCTGGACAGCACAGGCTGGCATGGAGACGGGCAACGTGAAGAAATTTCAGACTCCCCAAAACCAGGGCTGGCACTGACTACGGTGCTTCCCAGCCATCAGAAAATACCCACTTCTGTGTTTTTCCCCAAATAAAGAGAAATAGGGAAGGTTCCACTTCCTGGAGCTGTCAGGATTACTGTTCGGGAATGGACTAGGGTAAACACTGGAAGCTGTAGAAAGCTATTAATTAGTGAAGCCTTTCACTTCAACGCTCAAATTAAGTCTTCCTTGGCTCCTCAAGGAGCCAGGGACCTTCCCAAAGGGAGCCAGGCACAGCCACCCCAGGCACCGATGAACGGCAATCCTTCCTGCTAGCATTTCTCCTTTTCAGAAAATTGCTGAGAGAGGCCAGCTCTGAAACAAGAAGGCATGAAGGGACATTTCCTAAGTAGTTAATGGGGAAAGTCCTAGGCAGGAAGGAAACGACTAACGCAACCTGCCTCCCACAGAACCAAAACACTCCTTCCAACTCTTCAACAGATGCCCTGAATATGTAGGGCAATGTTTGGTGATTTATATGACTGAAGACTTTAAAAAGCAATAGTGCTTCTTTAAATTAAAATGTGACCCCCATCAAGATGGGGTGAAGCTTATTCATTCTGTGTCTACAGCTGCTTATTTTATTTCTAAGTCATTTTGCTTATTACTTCCTTTACTGCTTTGTGAACACGATAGTAGGTCCCGAACTGCAGCGACTGACCTTACTTCCAGAGTCCTTGGGTCCACATTCACCTTTATCGTACCACCATTTGTTTTTCAGCTTGTCTAAGACGCCTGCCTCACTGAGTTTCAAAACGGCAAGGTTTACAGGAGTTCTTCACGTGGAAAATAACATAAATAACATTATATATGTTATTTTATGTTATTCAAGTAAAACTACATAGAATCGCATTGCAAAGTGACAGAGCAGAGGCCACAGTGGGTGCTATGTCATGTACTGTTGGCCCAGGTTTAGAGACAGACATACGACCGGGACCTGCTCCATCGCTTTAGGTAACAGGCACATACTGCTGGGGAAGATTTGTAAATAAATAGTATGCAATTACTGTGAACCCAAAACTATTGGCTTAGACATATTAACAACATACCCTCAAGAGACATATATAATACAATTGGATATACAAGTTAAGAAACATATTCATTTGTGTTCCTTGCTTTCAATCCGGTTTTAGTTTGTATGCATACAAACAAATAATATGACTTGGCTATAGCTATTTCATTTACTGCCCTCAAAATTATCCTTCGTACAGTTTGCTGCCCATAACCACTTGGCACAGACCTGTAATCAGGAGTTCTGCCTGCAGAGAACTTCAGGGGGGAGCTGTGATGCCTTTATCCTCAGCTAAGAAGAACACGACAGTCAATCTTTCATTTTCGTTTCCTGTCTCAACATTATTTTCAAATTCAAAGGTTTTCCTTAAATCTCACTTATTCACATAAGCCTTTCAAGGGTCCCAGGCTGGTGATAAATTACTGCTTGGAATATCTTCTCTTACTAGTTGCATTTGCTGTGGGTGATGTATCAGAGTTTAATATTGAGACGAAACCTAATCTGATGCCTCAAAGTCATGAAGTGCTACTGAAGTTACTTGAACTCAGTGAAGAATCTCTGAGTATTACGGCAATGCCCCACTTCATGCAGTGGTACCAGTTTATTTTCTAAAAACCTATGAAATGATTTACAGACTTATTTTATGTACTTTCCACTTTGAATCATTGACTGTCCAATTCTTAATGTGGTAGGCATATGGATATCTATTTATGTGCAGGTGTGCGTGAAAATACAATATATATCAGAGAAGGAGGTAGATAAACAGAAATGACATGTGATAGGTAGCTGTCTGGTGATGTTATATGACATAGGACCTGTGTGCCAGCAGATTCCTATGGGAAAATTAATCCCTCGTAATACACCATAATCCATGCATTGCTAAAATGTTAACTCATGAATTCAAGGCTTAATAAATACATAACCAGGGCAAGCATCAATTAGTATAGTGTAACTGAACCTACTAAAATAGTTGCTATGAAAGACAACAGGGGCTTGTTACACTCTGTAACTGGTTTAACTGGAAATCCCCAAACGCTTATGTATCAATATATTTGCACGTTTGTATATATGTATTTACTACACAAATAACAGCTCCCAGACTTTGTATGCTACTCTTAGCTTTAGGGATCCTGGTTGTTCATATATTCTGATTACTCTTTGTACATATACATAAAGGGGGGGACTCACCTCAGTTTTTCAACCATAAATTATGCCCCAAGCTCTGGCTGCCTGTCTAGGCCTCCCTGCAGTTAAGGGAAAAAGATAGGTACCTCTGAAAGGTGGGCTTAGGTACCATTTTAACAAAGGATGAAGCATGCTGCCAAGATGCCCATCACTTTTCATTTACTACTGAGGAAGCCTTGGTGCCTCGGAGAAATGAATTTTTGACAGCTATAGTTGGGTGAGAGGATTCCCAGGTACTCCTAAGTGATACCTTTAAGTAAGGGAAATGCTTCATCATCTTGCCAAATCCCGCACATTTAATTCATAATTTGCTTCTAGAACAGAAAATGACTATTTATTCATCTTCCCAGTATTCAAACTTACAGTTTGTCTTCAGGCTTCCTGGCAGCTGTTTGTGCAGGTTGATAGTGGCATATGAGAGTCCCACAGCTGTGAAATGAGTGGGTGGCAGTTTGGGATGTTGGCACGTTGCCTCTCAATATGATCCTCTGTTTGCTTCTAGTACACGTGTGAAATAATTAATATTATTTGGATAGCTGTCATCTGCAACATGTCATGTGTTGTCACTGAGCCACATTTTGGTGCTCCTAAATCCCAGCAGTGTAATGGGGCTGGTTATGACACAGATAAGGGATATCCAGGTACTGTTCTCACATGGAAAATCAGAAGCCTGTGGAGTTACTGCAGATTAAACTAACTAAAATGATAATTAGGACTTGATATGAACTATCAAGACCAGCAGCAAGCCGGGACAAGTCAGCAAACAGATGTCTCCCGGTCCTGTGCTTCTTGTTTCAGCACTAACAGTTTAGGTATATAAAAGCTGATACAGGCAGGGATTTTTTCTTCCTTGCAGCAGAGTTCCTTTAATGTCATCCTTTCTGCATCGTCTCTGCGAGGAAGCTCTCGGGTTTTCCTTTGGGAAAAGCAATCAATTTCACTCTTAAAATTGCCACGCTATCATCAATGTATAACTGAACTCAATGGCAACAGCCTGCATAGATGAGGCAATTCCCACTTTTCACTGAAGTACAGCCAGTGATGTGTCCGAGGCCAGGTTCTTATTTCTCCCCTCCATTATTTTTACTGAATCAAGGCTCTGTGTAAGTTCAGGGAAACCCTTCCTCTGCCCCTCACTTACTTGCCTGCCCTGGTGAGACACGACGTGTCCTTTACATCTCACCTCAGACCGTCCTAGCTGTGATGAGGGAAAAGCACTCTGGGCCAAAGTTAGAATTAAATTTTAAAATATTTGAAATATATTTAAATTTAAATTTAAAATTAATTTACACTTTCAGAACAGGATTTTTGTCCCTTTTTAAATGAGCCAGCTGTGATGAGAAATCACAGAAATTGTACGTTGTCCAATACGAGAAGCCCAGGCTTAAAGGCTAAGGAGTGGAAAAGGAAGATTTTTGCTTATGCTTTTCAGAATAGCAACACATATACCTGTTTGCAATTACAGTAAGTGATTGCAGGTGTAGTGAATTTTTATGTACTTTAAGCTTTGTTTGTTTTTTCATTTTAGTAGGAGACTTTCAACAGCTCACATGGGGGATGAATGCCCAGATCACCTTGGCTTTTAGGACAAGTCACTTATCTGTGTGTCTTTCGTTTCTTTGAAATAACCCTCTCCAAATAAGCATCATTTTGACCATGTCAGTCATGAACTCAGGCGACTACAACTTGTTACTGTGCTGCTTACACAATCACTTGGTGAATAGTTCAACTGATATTAAAGGGGCCAGAACCTAAAAATCAGTAAGGTCTGCTGTGCATGAGCCAGAACAATGTACTTAAGTCATATACAGAGGATAAATCCAGCATTTAGAATTAAATTTCCCTTTGAGTTCAGTCTTGTATACCTAATATTACAATGGAAAATGACTATAGATTTGGTTTTTTTCCAAGTTGTTTAATGATTCCGGAATTACTAATGTTGGGCTAAGTCTTTAACTAGAGATAACTGGCAGAGGTTGTGAAAAGATAACTGGCAGAGTTTGTGAAAATCAGTACAGTCTTTCTAATGCACAGCTGCCGCGAATCTCCCTTGTTATATATGTAAACAGGATCCGTCTGCCTCAAATTCATGTAAGGATAATCTATGAGAAATAATAACTAAAATTACCCTTTATATATGGAGAAGAATTTGTCCCATGTAGCCACAGTGCCAAACTGCTGTGTGACAGCAGAGGAGACCCTGTTCTTCACCCGCCTGATGAAGCCAGTGGTGGCGCAGCTGACCCCTGAGCACAGGGACACTGGTTTTCTACCTTTTCATCATGTTTTCAGCTCTTCTACCTCCTCCCTTGGCTTCTTACTCATTTCCTCCTATCCTGTCATCCATCACTTGCTGTTGGAAGGGCTGGTTTTCAAAAGCCTCAGGCTGGATCTTGTGCCAGCAACATCAGCGAAATCACAGCGCTTTAAAATGGCATTAATGAAGTTCTGAGTTAGCTGTGTTCAGGACAACGAATGGGCAATCATAGCATTTAAATTACAATAGTGAGCAATTCTGAAACCAGTACAGAATTTTGGTAGTCAGGGATTTTAAAAATGCAATCACCAGTATGCTTTAGGAGCATTTTCATTGCCCACTCATGGCTGAGCCATTAATTAAATGCAAGGTCGGTCTCATCCGCTGAATGAAAACCAAGGCCCAGCATGTTCTCCTGAGGGCTGCCAGCAGAGACTGGAGGAGCGCTCCACCAGCACAGCTTCCTTCCGCTCACACTTTTATAAAAACAATGGAGCGGAGTGGCAGAAACTGTGTTAAATACCTTTCCACGCATCACATGAAATGATGATGGCATACAGTTAAGATCTGAGGTAATACTTTCAAAAGCACTCAAATGACTTGGGGACCTCAGTTTTATCTTCAGACTTAACTACTTAGACTTAATTACTGAGGTCACTAAACCACAGGTGGTTCACACAGGGCAGCTCTCTGAACTGTCTGTCTGAATTTTGGAAGATTGTTCCTTAGAAGGGGACAATAAATGGGGAGGCTAGAGATGACCTTTTAAAAGGCAGGAGAAATCTTGTTTTACAGAGCAACACAAACCTTTGGAGAACTTCTGAGCTCTCATGAAGCTCCTTGATTTCTATAGTCCTCTTTACTACCATGAAGGGTTATTCTGGGTCTAGACTCTCATATTCTGAGTAGTGAATCTCAAATAGTAACAGAAAGTTATCAGGCGCTGTATTTCTTTCAGGAGAAAAGGATGTTCTTACTCTTGTTCATGACAGTAGGAAGCCCTGCAATTTGGACTGGAGCTGCTAACAAAGATCAGGGCTTGTTCTTTTTAAATTCATCAAAGAAAAGAAGTATTAGCTAGAGATGCTTAAGAGCTTAGTTCAGGACTTGCTGGTAGCTGTCAGGTTTACAACAACAGTGTGTGGTGTCCTGGTTGTTCCACTAATGATCATTTGCTAGCATATAAAATTAAAATATTTAGAGCTCGATTAATTCAGTATAAAGGGTCCTATTGCCTTTAATTGATCAGATCCTACAAGACTGTTCCTGAATAAGGAAATGGATTTTGTAGATGATAAATGGCTAACTAACACTTTGAGGAG